TCAAACTGATGTCCCTTAAAATTTCCAAAGATCCGTGGAACTGAAACGCACATTCCAATCATAACATCCTCTGTCCCAGAATTCACCAGAATTCATAAGAAATCTTACTCCCAAGAAAAATGAGCATTTTCAGTGAAAGCTTATCTTTGTATTTGCCATTATCATGCTACCTGCAACTCATAAAACGCGTTTGTTGAACGTCTTATTTACTGCTGTTCAATTTGAGAAAAAGTTAAGGACCAAGTCCAAGGGAAATCAGTTTGTGAGGTACAATCCGGGATTCGTGGCCTTTGCAGTTTGGAAAGAGAAGCTGTATTTATTCATTTTCGGTACTTTTTGATTCCAGCGCCATTAGATCTCTCGCCGTACGTGACTAAACAGATTTTTAAACGCAGAAGATTGCGGCTGATAATTTCACATCCAGGAGTTAAGGAAGTAGCTTCCCCCGGGACTCGATCTTGTCAGGGAATTACCCTGCTTTTAAAAAAAGGTTGCAAAACCGCTGAGCCATCTGACTGCGCAGAGCAGCAGGGCTTAAGATAAGACAAGACAGAGACAAGATCAATACAAAATCCGCTTCTTCGGAGCCGCAGCTGGCATAATCTTTTAGAAAGGTGTCAGATGTTCACTTCCCTGGCCTCCAGGCTATGACTCTTTCTGGGGGTCACACGTGTCTGTTTCAAGTTGAGGTGAACCCATTGGGACAAAGCATGGCAGACAGGGCAACATTGGACAATGCGATCCTTTGCTCAACTGACATCTAACAACCAGCAGGGACTTTTGAGGTAGAAAAAGAAAACAAAATTTGGATTCTTCCGAAGCACCAAAGTGCTACCTTGGTTGGGATGAGCTCATTGGTTTGGATCAGGGATTGGGTCAACATTGGTCGCCCTGCTACAGGAAGGGTATTATGAAATTGGAAAGGCTGCAGAAAAGATTTACAAGATGTTTCTAGCACTGGAGGGTTTGAGTTAAACGGAGAGGCTGGGTCCTTTTTCCGCTGTAGCATCAGAAGCTAAGGGATGACCTGATACAGGTTCATAAAATCATGAGGATCATGGACAAGGTGAATAGCCGCGGTTTCTTCCCCAGGTTGGTGGGGGTGTTGGTGGGAGTCCAAAACTACAGGGCACAGGTTCAAGCTGAGAGGGGAAAGATTTAGAAGGAACTTGAGGGACAACTTTTTCACACACAGGGTGGTTTGTATATGGAGTGAACTGCCAGAGCAATGGTAGATGCAGATACAGTTACATTGAGATGACATTAAGACAGGTACACGAATGGGGAAGATTTAGAGGGATACGAGCCAAAATCAGATGGAAACCTGGTCAGCATGGACCAAAGTGTCTGTTTCTGTGCTGTATGACTCTATAACAGGATTGAGATCGGCTGTCTTCTTGACAAAAAAGGTGGAAATCTGTCAAGTGTAGAATAGCCATCTGAGTGAAGTGTGGGGGGGTGGCTCACTATGGATTCTCCTGGAGGCAGGCTGCGTGCACATTCTACGTATGATCATGCACAGACCCTGCTAACATCTCAGTACAAACTGCTTTGAATTCTCTCATCGCTTTGTTGAGACTGTGGGTCATCAGGGCGATATGATCACGTTCTAAAACAATGAAGAGAACCACTTCCGCGCATCCAAATGAAGCCACGACTCACCAAATGAAGAATGACTCATCAGGGGGCTTGAAGACAACTTTGAGAGGAACATCACCATTATTGCTTGGGAGCTCAGGCACCTCATCATGGACCTCTCTCTAAGTGAGCCACCACGTGCTGGAGGAAGCCAGCTTATCAAACAATGTGGCAGGTAGGATTCATACAGGATGATACCGTACACATTGACAGACCTCATCGGTAACATGAAGAGGGGAAGCCAAGGCATGGACAGCAAACAAGCCATCTCTATCCAAACCTTCATGCACCATCTGTCCACACAAGGCAGAGTCGCCAGATCGTGTTTGGGAGTTATCAGCCGCCTCAAAACCACTCAAATCACAGTGGTAGGAAGTCACCCACACTCCTGAGGCACTGCCTTGGGGGGAAGATGACCAAGCAGATCCTTAAGAAAAGAGAGGGAGCTGTGAAGGGACACGAGCAACACATTGGGTGTTCATTAAAATCACCTCAGGGCAATACATCGTTGCTACCCCTATCTCAATACAAGCAAGCTAACAAGTGACCACATCACAAGAACAGATTCGAGGAAATCACAGCAGTAAGAGATTAACATTTTGCTTCAGGCTCA